ATTAATTAATATGAATAAATCCTGAGTTTGCCAATTGTTAGTAATGTAACTAATTTTCATATTGTATGTAATTTAATAGGTGGTTAATTGATATTCATATTATAATTTTCCTTGTATAAGTAAAATTTGTGAGCACCAATTCATCAACGATGATGAAGGCGGTTACAGTGACCCATTACCCAACATGAATGGTTGTATCTAAAATTTCAAATTTGTACTTAAATAGTAAAATTGATGACGGCGTACTGAAAAAAAAAAATATACGCACTTTTAATATTTGAAGTACGAAAGAAATATTACAATGATCCCTTAAATATCAATTCTGTTGATTATATTCACAAAGTTGCTAACAAAAATCTTATGTATGCTACATGCACCTCACAAAAAAATATCACGTGCCACTCAATTTAATATGATGTGTGTTTTGTTTGGGACTAAATAAACATAATTAGTAGTTGAAGGATCAAAGTAACATTTATCAGATACTTTAAAGACCAAAACTATAGTTAGTCAAAGTAATGTTTCGTGACATTCCTTGTTACAATGGGAGGACTCTTTATTAAACGATAAGAGAAATCCACATAGGAAACATACACTATAGATGCTAGATATGAAAGAGGAGTCAATGCCTTCTTTCTTTTCTTTTTTTTGCCATTTTTTATTTGTGAATTGTTAATGAACTTACCTCATTCGTCGATATTATGTGATATAATATTTCTCTCATATATATGAGTTTTATTATAAGATGTCGAACCTATGAATCTATTCATTATGGATATCAAAAAAAAAAAAGCATATACAATAAGAATAAAAAATGTATTTAGTCCATATTGTTATCATTTTATTTAGGAAAACAATACATCAAATTAATTGCAATCCTTTCATAGGAAAAAGATAAACAATAAGAAGAAAGAAGAAAAAGCACCAATGCAACTAGTGCAATTATTCAACAGCTGTTGTGTGTAATCTTGATAATATATAGGCATGCAGCAACTACTACTGCTTCTACTTTAAGCCCTTGTAAGAGCTTGGTAGTTTTTGCTGTCTAAGTTTTCTTTCATCTGAAAGTAATTTTGCAAACCTGTAACAGGCAGGAACATAAAAATTAGAGTGTAATAACAAATTTTTGAGAATGGCAATGGTATCGAATTCTGTATCATACGTAAAGTTTATGACTGATAATGGAGATTAGTTAAAATTTAGTTGAGGTCAAGTTATGACTCAAAAAATGTAGATTAATTCAAAAATGTTAGGATTGAACCCAAATGAACTTATTTTTCCTAATTCACCCAATTTAGTCGTAACTTTCATTTTACGATTTTGAACTAAATACCATAGTCTTTCCCACAATATTTGGTAGCCGAACCAAAGTAGAATGATAAAGATTATTTCGATTGTTCCCATACCTTTTGAGAGCATCCTCATTTGTGCCACCATTTTTAACTGGCTCAGCAAGACCTGTCTTCAAATTCACTCGTGAAACTGGTTTCTTTAACAACTTTTCTCCAATCTCCACTAGTTTGTCCAAGTTTTCCTTAGTAGCAACATCAACGGTGGAGTTTGTCCTAGTTAACCTGTCCTCCTAGCATTGCATGTGACAGATAGTGAATTACGGGTGTTCATTAACCGAAATTTTTTTAAGTTACATTTAACTCGGTTATGACTAATTAAACTCGAACTCCAACCAAATTTAGAATCTTGCTCAACCTCGATTTGGTTGGGGCTTATGAGTGTTTGCATCCCACCCGAGCCACGATCAAACTTATTCTCTCAGTTAAAATATTCAAATATTAAATCTTTAGTTTAAATAATCAATCACAAAACAGACAATTTCTAAACAAAAATACTTCAAAAATTCTAAGCAAATAACTTCACTTTTGTCTAAATGAAATGGCCTTTTCTTTTCGTTTATTACTTATTTATTTATCATGAATGATAGAATCATTAAACATTGCGGGTATTCATCTTTTGGATAAGAGTTGTTTAATAGTAAAATTAGAAATATTTATAGACAGTAATCTATTAAAGCCGACTTGATTTTATTACAAATACGAGATTAAAAATGACACTAAGTTTTGACTATTTAAAAATTTGAACGAGTCAAACTCATATCAAACTGGAGCTACTCGAATCCAGAGTAACTTGAAAACCATGTGAAATACGTGGAGCGTGAGAGTAAATTTTAACTTACTTGTATTCGAAGGTAATTTTCTTCAGAGTGAAGAGCTTGAAAAACCACAGAAATATGGAAATCAACCATATCAGCACTTGCTTGAGTGAAAACATCCACCAGTGGGGTGGAACCTTTGTGAACTAACCAACTCAAAACACCCCATTTGGCCGCCATTTTCGCACTGTGTATTTCTGTTCCGCCTTTGCAGAGCCGGTGCCTATTGAGATCACCAGGAAACGTCCGTAGTCTATAGGCTTAATAGGGAAGAAATCTGAATTTCCACTGAAAACCTCTTTGGTTATCTGGGATATGGCAACTAAAGCCTGCAACCATCGTGCCACGAAAAATTTGATATTCATATATTTATTCCAAATCTCTCGAGATGTAAGTGGTATAGTTTCTTAGTATTTGTGGCTGTGAGAGTAGCTTCCTATGTCTTAATCTTTGGTAGTCTTTTGTAAGTAGCTTTTTCCAGACAAAAAATTTCGATTATTATTTCATAAAAGTGATCTATATGCATCATGATATATGACTAATACACCTCTATACATGCATAAGCGCAACTTTAAGCTAGGAGAAAGGAGCAAGTGTGAAAACAAAACTGCAAAAAAAAAAAGGCCTTAATAAGAAAAAAATATTCAAAAATTTTATCAATATATATAAGGTAAGTAATTGGCTTACATAAGTCCTTCTCGTGAGTATACCTTCTAAGCCTTCAGACACACCTTGAATTATGTGTGCATCTCTGGTTTTGTTTTTCCAAGATAATATTTTTATTTAGCAAAGAAATATACGGTGTGTGATTGTGAGTTCAATGGTGCTATATAACAATTAATCAGTAACATACTGAGAAAAGCTTATAAGTATATAGTTATAGAAATTATACCGGATTATTTGCTGCAACACCACCATCAATAAGATTGAATTCCCAAACGTTCCCTTCATTATCGTTGTTATTAAAATGGTAGGCAGGAAGATAAGTTGGAGCTGCAGATGTGCTAATGCATATGTCTGATAGTCTTGCATTCAGAAAGGGGTACTGTTTCGCCTGCATTGATATACAATATTATTTTAGACACTATATTTCTCCAACTTTGTCAACTCCTCAAATAAAAAATAGTAGTATCTTACAAGTTATAACCAACTTGGTACTGAATGTGTGTGTGTGGTGTGAGAGAGAGAGAGAGAGGAGAGAGTGAAACCTCATAAGTGGAGAAAACAGTTGGCTGCAAAGTCTTGATATCGAAAGTAGGAATGACAACATTGGTTAAGGTTTGATGCAATCGAGTCTCTCCTAGTTTCTCCCTTACAACTTGATGAAGATACTTCCCATCATACTTGGGTCCTGCTAATAAGTTCAATCTGTTTCTATGTGATGCAAACATGCCCCTGCCATGGCAGCAATTCAAGCTACCATTACAACTTTCGCCTTTTTCATTTTTGAAAAAATGAAGCAAGAAGAACATAAGAGTAGGATCCATGTGGCGTTTGGACGCATTTGAGGTATATTGCATGTCTATTTTTTATCAATGAATTACATTTACTCAACCAAAAGAAAAAAAAGAAGGCAAAAAAACATATCATGATTACCTTTTCTGTGGAAAAATTTTGGACAATTTTCGACATAAAAGGGCTTGATATCTTTAGCAGCAAATATAGGACGATTATTTTCATCTGGAGCTGTTAACATGGCAGTCACAAGGCCACCAGTACTGGTTCCTGCAATCACGTCAAAGTAATCTGCAAGTCTTGCATCCTCACCATCCAACTCCTGATCCAAAATAACATTTTTTGAAATTAATTAGTTAATCTTTCTGCATTTCGTTTTTTTTTATATGATGTAACTCTGTGGACCTTCATAATTTGAAGATGCACCCAATGTCCAAAACCCACACTCATAGAATACCCTATGCACACTTCACCAAGAAATGTGCGATCAGGTGATCACATATGATATTTGTGCAATTTTTACATGAAATCATGAATGAAGATCTCTCTCCCTCACACACACACAGACATATGCACGTGCACACTACTATGTCAGCCGAAAATAAAACTAACCTGAAGTTGGGACTCAAGGTAAGCAAGGATAGTGCCAGGGATGATCCCTCTGATACCACCTCCATCAATGCTGAGAATGGTGATTAGGTTTCCGTAAGTTGGGGGCTGAGATGAGAGTCTCTCCATTTGAAACTGATTGTAATAATGGACTATTGTTAGCCTATGAGATTAGAGAGCTCAAGCTTTCGTGGTTTGGTTTTCCAACAAAGTTAATCTATTTATAGCCCTCAACATGCATGGAAGAAACTTCCTTGCACTCTCTTTCATCGGCTATGTAGAGCAATTCGTGATTATATTGTTAAGAGCAATGTTATTGATAAATGTTGAAAACTGAAAAATATAATAAACATAATTTAGCTAGGTTGGCGTTTACATCATCCATTCCAAATAACACCTTAAACTCTATTGATATTTTTCCTTGTCAATTGAAGAAGATAACAACTAACTGTCGTGGGATGACTTTGTTTCAAATGTTTATGATAGTTGGCAGGCCCTCATTAGTTTGAATTATACAACTATTCAGGCAAGAGTTCTAGTAAAGAGAGATTCATTCATGAAACGTCAAAATCACAACTAAATTTACAGTATTTCTCATGTGATGGGATAACTTTGTTTCAAATGCTTGTGATTGTTGGCAGCTAGGCCGTCATTAATTTGAATTATACAACTATTCATGCCAGGGTTCTAAGAAAGGGACCTATATCTTAAGAAGGAAACTAAATTTACGTTTCTCATGTGGTGGGTAGCTAGGCTCTCATTAATTTGAATTATATAACTATTCAGACAAGAGTTCTAAGAAAGAGAGCTATATCCTAAGAGGAAAATTATGTTTATCTTTTTTGCAGTCGTGGAATAACTTTGTTTCAAGTGTATATGATAGCGATTGGTAGATCATCATTAATTACACGTTAAAATCACAAATTAATGAAGCTATATCCTAAGAGGGAAACTATATATATTTACATTGTTGCCGTTCTTTAACGTGACATGGTATCATAGTTGTTGGAGATATTTCCTCTTCAAAATTACTATTTTCCCCCCTTTTCCGATTTCTAAAATTTCAAAATTTATCCCCACATTATCAACCTATCTATGATGACATATAGCCAAGTTTGTATTGTATCAAGTTTGTGTTGTGCATTTGTTTATACATACCCATGTTTTGTTTAGCTGGACTAATATTTATTGACGGATTTAGCAAGGTCACCAATATATTACGTAAACCTCTCTATTCCAACACCAAACCATCAAAGCGGTAGGTAGCTTGGTGAAATCACTTACATCTTCCAAAATTAAACTGCAGGAAGTGTGTTCTTATCCCTTCTAAATATTTGTTAGTTGACAAACCACGGTATCTATGAATTGCTTACGCAGTCAGAGGCTTTCTATAATAAATCTCATGGTATGTGAAGGTTACCGTTGAGCTCCGCAGGCGGCTTATGGGTTTTAAAAGAGTTAAAAAATAATGATAATAACTTCCATGTGTGGCTAAACAAGTAAAAATGAAATTTACTTGGTTTGTGAGAGATTCAACACAAATTGCTGCTAGGTTTATGGCAGATTCCTCTAGAATTAACAAAGTCAAACAGAATTTCAGATAACAATCTCTGAAATTCTCTCAAGAACAGAATGAAGAAACGTTTGTTTTGTATATATCTAAATTGAAAAATCTATACAAGTATCTATAATACCTTAGTGAGGAGACACAACTCTTAGGTCAAAGAGATGTAAAAAGGAGACACAATTTTTGGGCCAAAAGAGATGTATAGAGGAGACACAACTTTTGGGCCAAAAAATATTTAGCCATTAATTAATACATAATTATTTAATTAGTTAAAGGTTTCAAGCCCAAGTGCCCATCTTTTGAATTTAAAGATTATTTTATTTAAAGTCTAATCAAGATCCGTTGATTTGAAACATTTGGAGCTTCTCTCTAAATCTTTCCACCATCCAAATTTATAAAAGTTTGTGTGTTTCTGCTTTTAAACCTTTACATTTCTTTTCAACTTTTTCAACGTGAAATTTTTATATTACTAAGTATCTCTAACATATGATGCATTCTGCGTGTAAAACGTGTAACTAAGCAACGTGCACAACTGAATCAACAAAGTCATTGTTGATCAGTTTGCTCAAGAATTATGTTAGAATGATTAAGAAATAAGACCGAAAAGAGGGACTAAAATGACGTGGTGTTAACGCAATAATGCTTTTGGTTAAATTTTCACTCATTCAAATGAAAGTGGGATAAGTTTAGACTAACCAAACAACTAGACTAAATGATATGACATTAATTAGTTAACTAGTAAAGGATAATGCTAAAATTAGGGGTGTCAAACGTGTTAAGTTAAATAATTACGTGTTTGGTTAAACGAATGACGGGTGAAAAATATGTAAACTCATACACGATTCGTTTCATAAAAGGGTGAAAAACCTCAACACGAACACGAATCATTTAATAAATGGGTAATACGATACGACTCATTTAATCTGTTTAGTTTTAATTTATTATTATATTTTTTGTGACTATCACTAAATTAAAAAAAAAATGTGGCCATCACTAAAAATAATATATATTCTGTGGTTGTCATTAAAAAAAATCTGCTTAATTTTTAAAAATAATTATTAATTTATTATTATATTAATTTTATTTAAACAGGTAAACGGGTTGATATGACTCATCCGAACATGACCCATTTATTAAACGTGTTAGACTGGTTAACACGTTTATCACCCAAACCCGTTAAAATTTCATCTAAATTCACTTAATTCATATAATTGTGTCGTGTTAAACTTTGACCGTCCTAGCTAGAATGATTAAAAATAGAACTGAAAAAGGGACCAAATAATGTTAGAATAATTAGAGAAGGATATTGTTGGACTCATAAAAAAAAAAAAAAAAAAGAACCAAATGATATTACTGTGATAGTCATAAAAAACCAAAAAGAACCAAAGTCTCTCTCTTTCACACTATCAACACAACATCATCTGACCGTTTCTTCTGTGAATCTATCATTATTTACTAATAAAACACATGCAACTTAATGTACGTTTATCCTTTTTTTTCCATTCATTAAGGGAACACCAGTTTGATACGCCAGTTTTATATGTTCACTTTTTTTAATTACACATGCGTGATGTTTTTTTCAAGTACCAAAGGGAAGTTTTGAAACTCCTGCCAAATTCTAGGACTCTTGAGTAACTCGAGTTTATTGCTGGAGTGCGCATGAGTTTGCGAATATTCAAGTTGAATCTGAGATGACCCAAGCTCAACTTCTCAACAAATCAAATTTTTTCATAGCTTAATAATTATTTTCGAAATAATCAGTTTCTCAATAAAATTCTTATACAATCAGGGTAATATTAAGTATAAAACCAAACCTAGAAATTCAAACTCATGCATGGTATGTTATAGGGTCATTTACTTCTTGTCTTTCAAGACAAGAAACTCTTACAAGCCTTTCAAGACTGTCTTTTGTTTTTTGGTGAATCACACAAATTCATTGAATCAAATGATATGCAAATGAAAAGGTTCGGAAGTGTGGGCGTGTGTTTGTATATGAGAGAGAGACAGAGAGAGATCAATGAAACTATTATGCTTTTTCTGGGGGGTCAAAGGTCCCCATGAGCCCTCCCTTAAGTAGACAATGGTTGCACTAGTGTCACCAAGGCTTTGAGTCGAGATATCACACGTTAAAGTTTGTTGATGTGGGCAAATTCTCACCGTTCAAAGAGAAATGAAAATCTATAAATATTTTCTAATTAAAGAACGTCTATCTTTCGATCGCATAGCATGTTTTACAAATTTGTGCGAAGAATAAAAAATAGTTAAATTTGACGACAAATATGAGAAGTAAACGGGCATATGGTCAAGGGATAACAATGTGATGCACAACATTGAGGCTTGACGCTTGAGCCTTGTTGGTCAGTGCCTTGCTGGTCAGTGGCGATCTTAACTCTCGAAGTCTCCTTTCATTGCAAAGTAGTCTGGCAAACCTGTGAGAGGTAAAAACATAATATTTTAAACTTTTGTGGATAATAAGAAAATACAAATAACTCTCGAGCTTACTTTATTTCTTACTTTTTAAATAAGAACATGTATTTGTTTTGGTGAAAAAGTACTATTGAAAAGCAAGAAGAAAAAAAATTATATATCTCTAAGCGCAAAAAAGAATTGCTTGTATCTGGATTTACTCTCTTCTTTAAGCTTAATTATATGTATATATTACTTGTAGATTAAAATATATTATCCATAAATAGTTATCATACATGTTTTTTTGGCTTTTGCTTTCAAGAAAAAAAAATATGTGATAAAAATATGTGTTTTATTTACGAAAAAATACTTCAAGAAAACGTTTTCAAATAATGTCTATTGTTTTTTTACCTCTTGAGAGCATCCTCATTTGTGCCTGCGTTTTCAACTGGTTTGTGGAGTCCCGTCTCCAAATTCACCCTTGAAACTGGTTTCTTCAGTAGATTTTCACCTATTTTTACCAGTTTTTCCAAGTTGGCCTTCGTCGCAACATCAACTGAAGCTTCTGTACCAGTCAATGTGTCTTCCTGGTTTTGCAAGCAATATATTAGTATGTGTTATATCAAACTGTTAACCACCTAATCAAACAATACATGGATGGAAGATGACCCGTTTACTTTTGGTGGGATTTCAAAACTATATTTGCATCGCGACGAGTTGAGAAGGTAGTTAGCGTTTAAATCATTTAGACACAAATTTCATCATTCAACCACCAAAGTGGCATAATCAGTGATTAGAGAATTAAAGTACATTTTGTATATACTTTAGAGACGAAAAATATATTTAATTTGTAAAATTAGAATTAAATTCAATGAGATTGTATGTAAGCTTACTTGAATTCGAAGGTAATTTTCTTCTGAATGAAGTGCTTGGAAAACCACAGAATTGTGAAAATCAACCATATCTCCACTTGATTGAGTAAACACATCCACCAATGGAGTCGAACCTCCATGAATTAACCAGCCTAGAACTCCCCATTTGGCAGCCATTTTACCATTGTATTTCTGTTCAATCTTTGCTGCCCCTGTGCCAATTGAAATTACTAGATATCGAGCATAGTCCATGGGCTTGATGGGAAAGAAGTCTGGATTGTTCTCAATGACCTGTTTTGTCACTTCGCTAATGGCAACCAAAGTCTGAAAGCATTTCATCAAGAAATAAACAACGATATTAAATTCAGATTCTTTTTTTTTTTTTTTGCAGTTTATTACTAATATTAGATTTGTCACGTCGAATCCATGTGCAATTCTTACATAGACATATAGGGATGGAACGAGTTAGTACTAGCATCCATAATTTGAGGTCGTGACTTGATTGAACGAGTTAGTATATACATTCTAAATGAAGTTATCAAATATTGTATACCAAATGATGTGACGAAACCTCTACAATATTGAATGTGTAGTGGGAGTAAGTGAGACCGACAACTCCAATCACTCATACTGGTTTGGTATACAAAATTTAAGTAAACAATTTGATAAGTATAGCAATGCTCATTAAAACGTGGTGCTTTTAACAAGTCGAGGAGAAGTCATGCTCCTTAGACCACAACATATTTCCATCCATAAATGGATGCACGAGTGAAAGGAGATTCTGAATACATACACACATTCATTTTCACTCTTGATATTTGATTTTTGATTTGTGGTCGCTAATTTTAAGGGTGTCATCTACATTTTGTGGATTCATTAAGGGAGAAAAAGGCATCTTCTACAATTTGTCAAACTGTAGGTCCCAGTGTTAAAGATAAATATGTAATTGTAAGTGGAATGCTATCTTATACATAATTTAATTCTTACCGGATTATTTGCAGCAACACCCCCATCAATAAGATTATATTCTCGAACATTCCCTTTGTTATCTTGGGTCTTGAAGTAATGGGCTGGAAGGTAGGTTGGAGCTGCAGAAGTACTTATGCAAATATCGGATAATTGAGCATCCAAACATGAAGAGCCTTTTACCTGCATGGATCAGACATAATTCTTTAACCCCTATTACTTTACCATGTATTATAGTTTGCCCTACTTAAATATGCAAAAATAAGTTTAACACTAATTTCTGAAATTATAACTGATGCCCTAAGGTTAGAGAATACAATCTCCAACTAAGGGTTATTAAGGGGCCCCGGCTGCCAGCCAATCCCCGATGCCCACCCATTGATTGGTCCTACTGACATTGTTGTGGTCGAAAAAAATGAGTAATGTTAGATAAACTTAAAAGTTATACTTGATAATCTCAATTATTGAATAGGTAATGAATTCCAATAAATGTTGGAACATACAGTAAAATCAACGGTCGTAATTATAAAGTATAATTTTTAAATCTACTTTTTAAATCCATGTAATATTGCTCGGAAAAAATATTAGAGTAAATATTGGGTGTAATGGTGACAACACGTCATTATTGACATCTAATGTCAAAATCCAATAATAAACCCATAGATAAGTAGGTGGATCTCATCTAATTTAGTAATCATTTAATAATCAATCAAGTGAAATATATTTTATCTATTTGTATATTTATTATTAAAAGCAATATTATTAGGACATAATGGGTTACGACTTATTGATGTCCCAATAACAGTAGTGTATTATTAAATGTTGGCACTCGGTGTACTTTGACTGAAGACCTTCAAAGTTCAAACGTGTCAAATTTCAATTTTTCTGGGTCCACCACATGACTCCGCAGTACATGTGAAAGTCATAATTAGTTACCAAAAACCAGAAGGCTTTTCAAGTTCTCAAATATACAACTACAAACAGTCAGTAAGACTATAGACAAATAATTCTGGGTGATAATAGTCTACCTGCATAACAACCACAGGAAAATATTGCGTGTGTGTGTGTGTGTGAGAGAGAGAGAGAGAGAGAGAGACCTGATAAGTGGAGAAAATGGTTGGCTGCAAGTCTTTGATATCAAAAGTTGGAATGACAACATTGGCGAGTGTACGACTTAATCGGATATCTCCCAGCTTCTCCCTTACAAGCCCATGAAGATACTTCCCATCATATTTGGGTCCTCTTAATGTTTTTAACGTTTTTCCAATGGATTTAAACAAGCCACTGACATTCAAACCACAAAGATATGGTTACTACTTAATTACATGATCAAGAGCTAAAGAAAATGAATCATTAGCTTAAGATATTCATACCTTTTCTGTGGGAAAATCTTGGGACCGTGCTCTAGGTAAAAAGGTTTGATGTCTTTGGCTGCATAGAGAGGACGGTTGTTTTCATCGGGTGCAGTTAACATGGCTGTCACAAGACCACCGGTGCTTGTTCCGGCAATCACGTCGAAGTAATCTGCAAGTCTTGCCTCCTCCCCATCCAGCTCCTATGCCAAAAAAAATTTCTCCCTATTAAAACACATACTACTGACCGAAAGGAAATCAGTTGTGATTTGTGAACCCATGTGTATAATTTGGTTTGTCATGAGTTAATTGCATGTATATACCTATTCTGTTGTGTTATGAGAGCTTCTTTCGTTTCATAGACAAGTTGAGATCGAGCAATTCGTTGATATCGCTCTATAGGCCCAGTGAGATAGACGTGTTTTGAATTTTACTGTAATATCCTCATTTTTCTAGAATAAAATCAATTAACCTACTAAAAAAGACCGAAAGGAAATTATATTTTCACCTGGAGTTGAGCCTCGAGGTAGGCAAGAATAGTGGCAGGAATAACCCCCTGATTCCACCTCCATCTATGCTGAGGATGGTGATTAGGTTTCCATAAGTTGGTGCCTGAATTTGAAGAAGGGAGGATTTTCTTCTCTCCATCTCGAGTTATCAATTACTTGTTGAATCTTGTGAATTGCCTCTAAAAACTTTTATTGGTGAAAAGAAATGTGAATGAAAGATCCAATTACCTATAGAATAGGAAACTGGGAAAGAAAAAATCTACCAAAAATGAGAGTGCACTGTGGAGGGAGTAGTGGATGAGGAAAGCAAGAAGAGAGAGAAAGTTGTAGGGTGCTGATTTAGATGCAGAATGGTCCATTTATAGGCCTCAAACTGAGAGAAACTTTGATGTAATATCTTGTGTTGATCTGCTAGTAAAGTTTGAATTCTGCACAGTTCGTGGAGCGTTGGGTCAGAGACGTCGTTGCGGGGTGGAAACATCCAAATGTGAAATTGGCGTTAAAATGGTCAACACTTCAATCTCTTTATTGGACTGCATAACTTTCAACGCCAAGTTTAGAAAAAAGCAAGACTTTTCTTGCTTGCAGGAAACTTGCTTACAAGTGTTACGACAACGAGTTCATTAGGCCGTCATGACATAGTATCTCTGACAATGTCAATGTCAATGAATCGTAGTATTTCTGTCAATGTGATTGGATCATATTAAAATCGGACTAATTCTTAGTTGGATCAAATTTAAAAGTTTCCATCTAAATCTTTGCATTTAAATCTCCGATGCATTTCATTTTTAAAATTCATATCCAAATTCATTAAAATAAAAAAATCTAATTCCGATAACTCAAATAGAATTTTAAAAAATTATATGGAATTATCAGCAACACTGTATTAAACAATTAATTAATTTCATCACAAAATTATAATATATAGAGATCAGAGTTAATTATTCAATTATCTATATTCAAAATTTGAATTTAAAAATATAAATATAAATTCAAATTCGATTTAAGCATGATCTACTTACGTGCCAAAAGTTTTGCTGCATGAACTTGCATGTTGCTCGTCAAAGAGGGCTCCTGGCGGCTTTCATTATTTTTTTTTGGGTACATTTGGAAGGAAAGTGCTGGTGGCTGTGTTTTTTTTTTTTTTTTAATTTTGGAAAGTGCCGGCGGCTTTCAAGTGTAAGAAGCTCTGCCTTGTAATGTTAGGTTACCAAACTCCGCTGTTAATTCTAAACATCATCTCACACACACACACACACACACACACACACACACACACACGAAATCGATACAAATTAAATAGGTTTGATGTAGAAGTGAATTTTTGATGATAAATAATTAGACTCATTATAACTACTTAATAAACAGGTTAACATGAAAACATGGTATCTTCGTTGTATTATAAATCTTATTGAATACCATGAATGGTAGTTGATGACAAGTTAAAATATTAGGTTTGCATATTGCCAAACGAACTCGGTAAATAATCCTACTGTTTTTATGAGTGATGTAATGTTAATTGCACTTAAAAAATTGACTGATTTATTGATTTGATGATATGGTAATTACGCACATGCCATTAATAACCTTCAGCCACATACTATAACTTCAGGACTTTTACTTATTATTGTCATTTGTAAACAAGGAAAAAAATTCAGAGATAAAATGCATTAAAAAGTATATCCAACAGAGGGTTGGCAAGACAAACAATAAATAAAATTACAATCCTTCTTTAAAAAAAAAAGAGAGAAGAACAACACCAATGCAACAATTGCTTGTCCTAGTTTAAGCCTGGTATGAGCATGGTGATTTTAGTTGTCTAAGCTTCCTTTCATCTGAGAGCAATTTCGCAAACCTGCAAGAGACAGGAAGAGACTGATTAATAATACATTAACAAATTTTGAGAACAACTGGGGCATACGATATCATTCCAAAAGTTGTGACTCTATAAAGATAAGTTATAATCTAATGAGGGTCTAGTCACCATTTAAAAAAGTTGATATAAATCTTAAAATGTTAAGATCGATCATTGAAATTTTGTTGGATTAAATCAAAACTTGCGGTGTGAATTCAAAAATTAACCCTTCAATACCATCCATCGTCCACTTTCTCTCCATTTTTTGGTATCCAAACCAAATCGAATGACAAAAAAATTGATTGGTTGTCTCCATACCTTTTCAGAGCATCTTTATTTGTGCCACCATTTTTGACTGGTTCAGAAAGACCAATTTTCAAGTTTACCCTCGAAATTGGTTTCTTCAACAACGTCTCTCCAATCTCCACAAGTCTGTTCAAGTTCTCCTCTGTAGCAACATCAACGGAGGAGTCTGTCCCAATTAAGGAGTCCTCCTGGCATTACATTCAATAGATCATCAGTGTCATATAAAAATTGAAAGCGCACTTAGTTCCAATATAGGTGGAATCAAAATTCTCCTATTACACTTTCACTCAATGGTAAATCACACATTATGCTTAAGATAAAAAACCCTGATATTAGCTTATTTATTAAAAAAATAGTTGGCAAGGGAAATATGATATTAGCTTACTTGAATTCGAAGGTAGTTTTCTTCGGAATGAAGAGCTCGAAAAACCACAGAAATATGGAAATCAACCATATCAGCACTTGCTTGAGTGAAAACATCCACCAACGGACTGGAGCTGCCGTGAAGTAACCAACTAAAAACACCCCATTTGGCTGCCATTTTCGCACTGTATTTCTGTTCCACCTTTGCAGAGCCAGTGCCTACTAAGATCACTAGAAAGCGTCCATAGTCCATGGGCTTAATCGGGAAGAAATCTGGACTTCCACTAAAGACCTTTTTGGTTATCTGGGATATGGCAACTAAAGCCTACAAAACATGGTACCCAAAAAAATAAAATCGTATGAAAGTGGGGTTAATTCAATGTTCTATATTTCATAGATATATACTTTGGGTGACTATATTATTCAAATCTGTCGGGATGTTAGAGGTATATAGTTACCTAGTATCTTAGGTTGTTACTTGTAAGAGTATCTTCTAATAAATTATATTATTTTGTCTCAATCAGTAGCTCTCTTGTAAGTATCCCGTGGAAAGTAATCTTCGGGTATGTCTTGAACAATATTGTCTATCCATGCCTTTTTGTTTTTTCCAAAATATTATTTTCATTCAGTAAAGAAAATATAGAGTGTTTGATTGCAGATTCAAGTGTATATAACAATGAGTGACACATTTAGAAAAGCTTATAATGTATCTACTATATACAAGATCATACCGGATTATTTGCTGCAACATCACCATCAATAAGATTGAATTCCCAACTGTTCCCTTCTTTATCTTGGCCACTAAAATGGTGGGCAGGAAGATAAGTTGGGGCTGCGGACGTACTAGTACATATATCAGATAAGAGCAATGTTGCATGAACTTAAAAAGTAGATTTAAAAATTATACTTGACAATCTCAACCATTGATTTTTTTGTGGGTTCCAACATTTACTGAGACTCACTGCTATCTATTCAATGGTTGAGATTATCAAGTCTAATTTTTAAGTTTAGGTTTTAAGTTCATCTAACATTACTCATCAGATAATCGAGCATCCAGGAAGGGGGATTCTTCCACCTGCATCAACATAAAAATATAAGGATATATGATAAGCACATAGAGAGAGAGAGAGAGAGAGAGAGACCTCATAAGTGGAGAAAATTTGGCTGCAAATTCTTGACATCGAAAGTTGGGATGACAACATTGGTTAAAGTTTGATGTAATCGACAGTCTCCTAGTTTCTCCCTTACAACTTTGTGAAGATACTTGCCATCATACTTGGGTCCAGCTAATAAATTCAACGTGTTTCTAAGTGATGTAAACATGCCCCTGCCACATTGCAACAATATGTGTTCATGATTAGATAGATACAAATAAAAGCAAGATCGATCACAGGCAAAATACCAACTAATTAATTCCAAGTTTTCATGCAACAAAAACAATACGTTTTTTAAAAACTGGAAGCAAGAAAAACATTTCCTGATTACCTTTTCTGTGGGAAAATCTTAGGGCTATGTTCAAGATAAAAAGGCTTAATGTCTTTAGCGGCAAATAAAGGACGATTGTTTTCATTTGGAGCTGTTAACATGGCAGTTACAAGACCACCGGTGCTTGTTCCTGCAATCACGTCAAAGTAATCTGCAAGTCTAGCATCCTTACCATTCAACTCCTGATCACATCAAAATTACAATATTTAGAGTCAGATAATCTTTCCACACTACATTTTTTTGGTATTTATGTGGGAACTCCATGGGGCTGCAAAATTTTAAGGCACATTGAGATTTCAAAACTCGACTCATAATTAAAGTACTCCACACACACACGACTTTCATAAATCATGAATGCAGAGCTCTCTCCTCTCTCTCTCTCTCTCTCACACACACACACACTCAATTGTATCAGCAAAAAATAAGACTAACCTGAAGTTGGGATTCAAGGTAAGCAAGGACAGTGCCAGGAATGATGCCTCTTATACCGCCTCCATCAATGCTGAGAATGGTGATTAGCTTTCCATAAGTTGGGGCCTGGATTTGAAGTTGAGATGGACCACCTTCATTTTGAAACTAAAGGTAATGTATTGTTTTTCGTCTACAAGTTCAGAGAGCTCAAGCTTTCGTTGTTTGGTTTTCCAACAAAGTTAATCTATTTATAGCCCTCAATAAGCATCCAAGAAACTTCCCTGCAATCTCTTTGATTGGCTATATGGTGAGTATGGATAAATGTTGAAAACCTGCAGATACATTAAGCATAATCTAAGCTGCCGTGGACATCCTTCATTCCAAACATCACCTTAGACTTTTTTTTGATATTTTTCCTTATCACAATAAGAAGATAGCAACGCCCCCCCCCCCCCCCCCACCCCCACCCCCTCCTCCCCCCTCTCTTCCTATTTTACTAAAACCCTTGGCTGAAAAGTTGTATAGCCCGCCAACCCCAAAAAATATTATATAGATATCATTTAGTGGGAAAAAATAAAGCTTGCAAAATATCCTTAATATTTTAGAAAATTAAAAGCACCTGTTGCAATTGGAATTTTGTGGAGTAGTGAAAAGACCACCCTTTTTTCCTTTTATTTTATTTTGGATGTTAACTATAAACGAAGTGTACTTTTTGTATATGAATCTTCTTCAATTAATATTAATTATCTTATTTAGCTAAAAAAATAAATAAAAAGTTGAATGGGCATAAATAAAGTGAGAGAGAATTACACTCAGATCTCTTAAAATTTATCATTTAATCATTCAGACCCCTTAATCTTAAAAATATTACACACAGACCTTTTAAAGTTTGTACGCACATAACACTTAGATTCCTGTTGTCAATGTCCATTAGCACATCAGTTAATAAATTACACTCAGACCTCCCGAAGTTTATAGATATGTAATATTTAGACTTTTCAAGTTTAAAATATTATATTTAGATAAAAAAATATTTCAATCAAAGATAGAATATCAAATATTTTAAATTTTACAATCAAAATTTATATTCTATTATGACATTTATTAAAATAAAATCAAAAATTTAAATCTAATTTTTTCTTAAAAAATATAATTAATATACAATTATACAATCTATTACACAACTTAATTTGGTCATTTAAACAACAAAATTAAACTACTAAATTACCTCAATTTAGCTAAAAGAAACTGTGTCTATTATATTTGACCGCTTGTTTAATTTTTTTGTTTTATTTCAATAGATAATATAATTGTGTATTAATTATGATCTTTTAAGAAAAAAATTAGATTTTTATTTTTGATTATATTCAAATTAATAACATAATAGAATATAAATTTTTGTTATAAAATTCATGTTCTACTATGAATGACTTAGACCCCTTATTTTTTTTATTTAATTCCAATAGATAGTATACTAATTACGATTTTTAAGAAAAAATTAATTTTTATTTTTAATTTTATTTCAATAAATGATATAATAGAACATGAATTTTTGTTATAAAATTGAAAATATTTGATATTTTATTTTTGATTGATGTATTTTTTGTTTAGGTGTAACATTTTAAATTTGAGGGGTATAAGTATTATACGTCTATAAACTTCAAAGGGTTTAGGTGTAAATTAGTGTCAGATATACTAATGGACATTGAAGGGAGGAGTGTAAGTATTCCGCACGTACAAATTTTAAGAAATTTGTGTATAATATTTTAAATATTAGAGAGTCTGAGTAATTAAGTGACAAAGTTCACAAAGGCCGGATGGAATTCTCTCATAAAATAATTAAGAAATAAAAAAAGAAGACAGCTGACGAAGAGGTGGTCTGAGAAAGTTGAAGAGGACACGAAGACAACTCTTACGAGCAAAAGCTCAGAGGGTGAGAGAGAACAGTCAATGCCAATGTCAATGCCCTATTCACTACTTTCTTTCCTGAAACATGGCCGAGGAAATATGTTCCTTAAAAAAGGTGTGCTTTTCATAACTTATGGTCTCTCTCACTTTCGTTCTGTAGTTGTGTGTTCATTTTCTTTCTTTTTCCCTTTCGATAGAATTTGTTTTCTTTGGATAGTATGAACCATTAATGGGTAGCTACATATAAAGGTTACGTCTTGTTTTCCTCTCAATTATGTGCATGCCCTGATTTGATTTTTTCAATGAAAGAAGCTCTCTCTGACCATTTCTTTGCCTTATTTTTCTCTGCATATTTAAACAGAACTACACCTAAAAGCTCATTTTTCCTTTTCTTTTTCACCATTGATTTTCTTCCTTTTTTTTCCCCTTTTTGATGGAGGTTTTAAGATGGTTTCCACAGGTTAGCTCCTCTATGTAACACTTACTGTTTTCTGCAAGATTTTTTTGTCCAATTTCTTTATGTCATTTTCTTATCACAGAGCCATAATTTTGTTTTTTTGATATTTTTTATTGGAAAATAACATCTGGGTAACATCCACTACATACCTTTTGCTGTGGTATGTGCAGTGTATATTTTCTCTATTTGTTTAAAGCAAACAACTAATTCCACAAAAAATACTAAGTTTCTAGAGATTCAAGTGATTGACCAACCTTGTCACGCTTCTGGGATAGAACAATGGGAAATTCCTTATGTGCATCTCCCAAAACCCAAAACCTTTAGCAGGTAACTGAAAAAATTAAAAAAAAAACAATTATTGGGTTTGGTTCAATTTGGAGTAATTAAAATAGATGTGAGTGATGGATTTGCAGGGAGGAATGCGTCTGCAATCCGGTTTGGAATTTCGCCATCTTGTCGATGCAGAGATCTGGGAGTGGATGGTTTGAGACTTTGTTAAATAGTCATATAAACATTAGCTCGAATGGTGAAATATTTTCTGTCAAAGAGAGGAGAAGCAATGTTTCTGTGATGCAAAGCACAATGGATAAAGTTTACAACCTCGATTGGTTCACTAGTGCTTCTAAGAACGAGTGCTCCGGGGCAGTTGGGCTGAAATGGATGCTCAATCAAGTGAGTAGAGTAGCATGGTAGAATCTAGTTTATATATTGGATGCTGTATATATAATTTTATGTATTATCATGCAATTATTGGGCAAAGCTTCCCCCTCATGTAGTCATCGGCCTTCCCAAGCCCTCTCTTTGTTGCGCCTCACCGCAGGCAAATTACCAAGCACTTCATTGCCAGTAGTAGTGAAGAAAAAATCATCCCACCCAAAAACAAGTCGGAGCTAAAGAGAAGAGAGTTCAATCTACAAGAAGCTGGCAGATGGCTTATTATTAGATAAAACAAGCGAGAAAATGGAAGGGTGCTAGCTGCAATCAAACTAGAGTGCTAATGAGCAAAGGTTTTCGCACAAATTGCTTAATCCGTTACTTCTTGCTTTCGAGCTCAAGCCTACGTTTGCTTAGTAAGCTTGAGCGCATTAATCTCTCCTCGATAAAAAGGTGAAATCCGTAACACTAATGCTACAGATCAATATAAAGGTAAATTATTTCTGTTTATTCCATAGCCTCGCCTTCTTTCTTTTCTGGTGGAAATGCAACAAACAAATAAAGGAATCAAGGGTTTCAAAGCTTATTCTATAGTCAAAATCTGTGTGGTGTCAAATCAAAAAGATGGTTGGCGACCTATAAAGGAAATATGACGGCAAGCAATAAACAAACTTTGTATTAGTTTGCAAGCATTAAGGCAAGGATAATGAAATCTTGAGATTTTGGTGCGTCTTCGGGTGAATTTTTGTTTTGTGATCGTGTTGCCCCTGAATATTACATGACATTTTTTTCCCTTTCAATCGCTGAAATCACGAAACATGGAAGCTGCTCAATTTAAATTGTTGGTAATATGTTTGTCAGGGCTTGATGGAGCAGCACAAAGATATAGTAGACTACTTCAAAACAAGAGGTGTCTCTGCAATATTTCTCTTACGAAGGAATCTGCTTCGCAGAATGATATCTGTGCTTGCTAATTCTTATGATAAGGATGCTAAGCTATTGAATGGAACCCACGTGTCGCATGTGCATTCCTCACACGAGGTTCTCTCTCTCTCTCTCTCTCTCTCTCTCTCTCTCTCTCTCTCTCTCTCCAGCCCGTAACCACGTGTAGATTTCCTACAGGCTCAAATACTTGCAAGATACAAGCCTAGAGTCAATGTCACATTACTCATACCTAATCCGAAGGAAGCGGAGGAAACAACTTCCAAGGCTTTGGAATACTTTAAGAGCACTCGACACATTGTTCTTTACTGTGAGGATATTCTTAGAAATGGCCCTGTAAGACCTAAACACCATTGTGATGTTTTGAACAACTGTTCCAGTTCTCAAATCTCAGTTTGTTGTACAATTTCCTGCGGAAACTCGTGGAAGTTCAGGAATTCTTAAGGTTGCCATATAGAGACCTTAGAAGTAGACAGGTGAAGATACACAGTGGCCCTTTATCAAAACATATTAAAAATTGGGATGATGTTCAGAAAGCAGTCAAGGGTACTTCATATGAGAGCTTCCTCCATGCAGACTACTAATTCTTGTTTTGCTCAGGGCCAATTCCAATTCAAAATCAGTTTGAATGTGACAGATATCGAGCCATTGCTCACTTTCCTGGTCTTAATTTAGATGATACATTATTGTTTCTTACAAAAATATGCAGGGTGCTTCACTTGACTTGATTAAATGGATATATCTGATTTTTAGGCTACTTATCAATATACTCTTTTCATCAGTATCGTCTGAGCTTGAACGTTAACACACATCTTTTGCAGCACTAGCAATGGGGCATACATTTCTGGCTGACTGACTGTTCAAATTCAGTACAAAATAGGGAATTCAAAGCGCACGACCACATAATCTTGCCAAAAAAAAAGAGGAAAAAGTAAGCAAATTCTATCATTTTCTCCAATTGATTGGTTTGAACCATATAAGATACATTCGACACCATTTTCTTCCCCTTTTCTTCTTGTTCCAATTGATTGCTAAAGACTACATACAAAAATCAAATCAAAGGTCAAGAAGTTACTGACCCATTCACTGCTTCCGGGACAGATATTTGTGTTTGTTTAATGACAAAGTGGTCAACAATCCGGACAGTTTTTTCAGGGTCCAGCTGAGAGGAAACAGCTGTCCATTTGCTTGGAAACTGTCTCAGGTGGCTCAACTGCTCTTTGGATTCGTAACGCCATTCACGATCCACCTTCCATTCCTTAGGAACCTGTACATCCGCAGGGATTAGTATTATTCCAAAAAAGGAAGATAAAAAGGTTTGGATCTAATCGCTGCATTCTACAGAGAATCTTGCACAGTATATGTCATAGACTATAGAATTTAGTGAAGCAACATGTCAATCCCAGAGCTGGCTAGATAATCTGTGAATCAGGACTAATCACAGTCAGGATTTCAGGTTGGAAGAACTGTATCTGCTCTGAGAGAATTTTTTGGGGGGGAGTTCTTTTGGAGAGGGGTTACTTCCCTCTATTCTCATATATCATTCCCAACCTCTACCTCCATGTGGAAACACATAATCTAAGTTTTTCACGTTAGGTGATACAGCTACTTCCAGGCAGAAATACAAAATAAAAGAACAGGGCAGAAACTTGTGTTGGCTTGGACATCTGGATGGTTGAACACAGCAACTTTGCAGTTCAAGGAACAGTTACAATCTATGGATTTTGAAATAGATAATAAGACCTCTACACAAATATTATTTGGTGCTACTCTTTGATAACCTGATGCTAATAGTCCGACACTGTGGCTGCCAAGTTATACAACAAAATTAACTGAATTCTAATACAGAAATGAATCAGAACAAAAAGGAGAAAAGAAACTGCTATATATAAGACCTATTATACAGTGATCCAACGGGCAAGAACTTTACCAAATTCAGTCAAAATTACTCTTGAGGTTAAAAAACTGCAGTGCTCTGCAAAGAACTGGGAGTTGAGAGAGTGGAGACCAATGGAATGGACAGAAAATATGAATCTCATAGTTCAGTGTTTAAGTAATTTCACATTCCTAAAGTCAACCACCAGATAGAAAAACAAAGCATTGGTATACTACCTTGTCGACTGCAAGGGTGAAAACTTCAAGATCGCCATTGTCGAGGATATGGAAGCGTGTAAATGCCTTGTAATCAGCAATACGAAGTGAGGAAAAGGCTTCATCAAAGTGTATGTGAAGCCAGTTAATACAGATGTACAGATAGCTTCCGAAGACCAAAGAAACCACTGGAGTTGAAAAAACCCAGAAATATAGGAACACAGAAGCATAATATATCACAGCACCCCCTCGGGAGAGGGAATCCATACTGTTCTTGCAAATATTATTCCTCGTGACAGCCATGACCTGGTGATTACTCTCACGCATTAACACAAGTGTATGACAAAAATGTATCACCACGTGTTCCTGAAAAGGAAAGCATTCTCACCTCTGGAACGTCAAATGCAGACATTAGATACTGAATACATGCTGGATAGAGGCCAAATGTCCATTGTTCTATACGAGTCCGGAGGCCTGTTGGGCCAGGAAAATGCTCACTCTCCACTGATCGAAACCATTCATATAAAGTGTGATAACCTGAAATGCGATGACTAATCATTATGCGATGTCAACATTCACACCAGTGAATGAATTCCCAATGACAAATATGACTATCACAAATATCGTATCCTTGTAGTCTTAACCTTCATATTCCCAATTCACAAAGGAAATGGAACAGAAAATTTTACCCGAAGTTCCCAATAATTCATGCCGAATACATGTCTCAACTCCCAATTCCAACAGCAGCATAAGAATTAATGCCGCAGACAGATGGGCAGCAAAATGAAGAATCCCAATTATTACCCTGCTTTTCCGAGATACGTAGGAGGGTACAAATGTGATTGCAGCTATTAACAATAACAGAGCACCTGCTGAAGATACATACGAACGTCCTAACATGTATATAAAAGCATCCCACACTGTGCTAAAGAAGCTCCTTAGGTGACCAGAAAATGTATCATCCTGTAAAATCTGGCCTAGCTTACACTAGAGGAGGAAAATAATTAATTATTTGTTTGGGAAACAGTCACATGCCATATAACTAATGCAGCCGAGTGGAACTTTTTATCTAGAAAGAGAAGAAAACTTACCTGTGGGAACATCGAAAAGGTCAACACAAAGTACATAATGCCACCAATGAAATCAAATTGCCAATTATTCTTTCGGAATTTCAAAATATTTCCCAGAGCAATCTGCAGCAAAATCATTAGCACATTATAGCAACAAACAAACAAAATGATGCAAAATAAGAACAATAGTAGTAATTGCAAGGATATTGGAATTTTTTACCCTGCTTGAATCTTCAAAAGAGGGATATGAAGCCTTGCTTTTACAGGAGGTCCCATACAATTCATTGAAATTCCTTAAGACATGGGTGGGATGCAAAAAAGCCCCACCACAACCGTTAACAAGTACATGTTCCACAGAAACTGGCTTATCTGAAGGAACAAATGAATGGCGCATATAATTATGCAAATCCCCAGCCATTCGAAGTTTGCACCTGCCCTTTAAGTGGTCATGTATCAGCTGTGTGATACTGTTCCCGGTCACACCATTATAATACCAATCAAGAAGCCAATTTGGTTCATGTGTCATAATGATTACAGAATCGTTGTCCCCAACCTGCAATGGACTTCCATTTGACGTGTGATCCAACAAGGAAAAAAGAAAAACAAAAGAAGAAGATCCCCCAAGACGATGCTGGTGGATGTCGGACATGATTCACTGACTCCGATATATTAAGAAGTTTCATGGTGATGGTGAAACAAATAACGGATTATATTGAAATCTAGAAAGAAAAAAAAATACAATGAGGAGCCATGGAATATGCAGAGGTTAATGCTAAATGGCTCCTATTTTCAAAGCAAGAGAACCTAGCTACTAGCTAGTATCACTGCTCGCCTGGAGACCTACCTTGAAAATCGAACAAAATTATCTTCCATCACTTGAGTAGTTCTCTCCAGTCCAATGTTCCCTGACAGTACTTTATAAAAGGGACATTCTGATATCAACTCCGCATGTCACTTCCATTGCAAGCAATTTACAATTCTCAGTGACCATTATCAAGCGTTTAATCACAAAGATGAGCATGCATCTGATCATTCTTATGCAAATACTCGGTTCTTAACGTACATGGACATGAACTCAATCATGTCCTGAGCCGTTCAAAAATATGATTCAGTCAATAACTCTGCTATTTTGATAGATGCATATCACAAGGAAAAACTTCCACGTATTTGTGTAGCATCTAATATAACAGCACTCAAATACATCACTAATGTAGCTAATGAACATTTGTAGCGATCCTAAAATCAAAATTGCAAAATAGAAAGCCCAGAACGAAAAAGACCACACAAAGAAAATACCTTTTGCTTTATTAATTCTGAGAAGAATTTGAATTGGTATACATCAATGTCATCATGGAGAGCCAGATCAAGACCAAATATCCACCACCTATGCGGTAGCCGCAAAGCAAAGTAGCTCTTCTTCTGAGGCATAAACCATCCACCCAACCAGCTCTTGTGACATACGTACCTCATGAAGGTTTGAAGTCCATCAAACCAATCTGCAAAACCAGGAAAGTAAGATCTACACCAAGGACTACAAGAGAAGACGTTAATGAGAAACATAATTCACTGCCACATGCCATTTTACGTATCAGGGAAAAATAAATGTTTTGGGAGAGACCAAGAACCAAGACCAACCATGGTTTCCAGGAATAACAAAGCATTGAGGCCCATCATATTGCTTCAGCTCGGACACCCCACATGGTAATTCGGGCTTGTTTACAGCTATATGTTCTTCTTTATACCAGGGTGGACGCTGTAGAGCATATTCAAAAGGGCGAAAGAAGCGCCTTTCATATGTAAATGCTGATGGATTAGGATAGCTGTAAGAAAGCCAAAATTACATGTAATTATATCACATGTACTGTACACAATTGTTTACATTAAATTAAAAACCATGTGCAGCCAAAAATGACGGTAATTAAAGCCAATAGAGATTCAAATCCATAAAAGTTCATCCCACTAAACCCTTCTGTGCGCGGTGATTTTTGCAGAATAGATGAACAAGACAGATATCTCCCTTTGTAAACTCGTGTTCGTCGAAAAAGTCGTTGACCCTATAACAAGGAATGGGTTGAAAGGCCCAAAGGGGGCAAAAAAAGTGGTGATGAATTGTTTCAGGGGTTGTCCGATCACTTCCGACAAGTCGAAGGCGGTTCTTGGCACACAGAAAATAAGTTAGAAATGCACCAAAGTATTTTTCAACGTATCTCCTCCAACAATCAAGTTAGTTCTTTGAGAAAGGGGAAAAAGAAAATATTGTTTAATGTTCTTGAGGGGTGAATTTGCGTACCTCTGCTTTGTGTTTTTTAGAACTATTTATATCTCCAAAGACCCATCATTACTGATGGTCTAGGTAGTAGGTAGCACTCAGACATGAGGCAGTGTGCCTCCTATTTTGCATGGGGGAGGCCCCATTATTAAATGCTCGGGTCTTAGAGCATTTAATGATCTTTCTTCTAGGCTCCCAGAGCCATTGTGAATGTCCTATCAACTGAGGGTTCATTAAATGCTTACCTAAGATAATCATATGTCAGTAGGGGTATTTTTGTCCATTCACCCCTCAGCTTGTACGTCATGCCACGTGTCTGACTCCCCTTGGTGGAGTGTCTTGTTCATGCTGTCATCCTGACCTTATTAGGAAGGCAAGCCAATGATTTTTTTGACCAGTTCTAAGAATGATGGGCTACAACTATCAGTGGCCCTTCTAAAAGAAGAGATGACATGTCCACAACTGGTCTTTAGTCTAGTACTATTTAGAACATATGGATCCATCGGGGAGCAAGGGGTGTCCTCGGTGTCGAGGACACCTAGCATTATCAGAGAGGTCGTGCCCTCAGTGCCGAGGGCATGTGGCCTTCTTCGCAGGGCGTACCCTCGGTGTCGAGAATACGTGTTTGAATCCTACCTTTTCTCAGAAGTGTCCCATCAACTGCCCTCATCCCTTTGATATTCATACGGCGGGGGCACGTGTCGTTAGGAGGTCAAAGGGCTCAACCGTTTCATCATTGCGTCAGCCATTTTCCCGTCTTTGGGGATCATGCACATTGAATGTGCATGTGCTTGTGTCTTGTGCACAATGATGGGGATACAGCCTATATAAACAGAGCCCCCTCCCACCTTCTTCACTTTTATGACCCTTTGGCTATATCAAAGACTTTCTTGCCAAAAAACTCACCAAAATCCCCTTCTGTCGAAGAATTTTTTCGCCGGAGAGCTCACAGGAATTTTTTGTCGCCTTTCCTCGAAGAATCCTCCATTTTTGTTCATCATTTGAAGGGGAAGAGCATTTCCCAGCCTCCATTGTTCGTTCCCTCTCTCTAGTGAGTGTTTCACTTTTACTCTTTCCTTCTCCTTTTTTGTTTTTTCGCCTAACATCGCCTTCTAAACTCTACATCCTTGGTTCTTGAGGGCACAAAACTACCCCCTTCATTTTTCTTTTCTCCCTTTCTTTCGTTTTTCTAGTGACTAGACATCTTCTAGGCCCCCATTGCCTTCCCTAATCGTTTCAACATCTGTTAGCACCCCTTAGAAGCCCTATTTTTATAGAACACCCCCTGGGATCCTCTCCCTTTCTCTGTATAAAATGCCAAGGAGTCGTCGCCCTACCACCGAGGTCCAAGAGACTAGGACCTCCAGGCCGAGGAAGTACACGATCAAGGGTATCTAACAAATAACCAACTTCAAAGCTCATTATGACATCCCTTGTAGTGTCGGCATTGACGATTTCGACCCAACTCGTTATCGCCCCAATGTCGGCACCGAGGGTGCCATGTCATTTTATACCAAGGCCGTCATGGAGGGCAGGATCAGATTCCCCCTCCATCCATTACTTCTTCAGTTCCTGTCTCGATTTCATCTTTTTTCTAAACAATGTTGTCTTAATGTCTTTAGAATAGTAATGGGGGTGATGGATCTTAACAAGCACCTCGGGGTCAACCTAGGCCTCGAGGACATCTTTTTCTGCTATTCCTTGCTGAGGGTGATGCCCCAGCAAAAATTCTATCTCAAAGCCCATGACACCTCCATATACCTTATCACCCACCTTCCTGATTCTGACAAGGGATACAAGGATGATTTGTTGGTCTTCAGCGATGCTTAGGAGAAGGGGGTCGGCCCCGAGTACGACAGCTTGTCCTACCCCAAGGAGGGTTGAACAACAAATACATCGGTTTCTCCCTCTCTTCTTGGCTTTTTAGCTTTCTAATATTAATTTATACGAGTCTTGACAATCTTCTTTCTTTTGTGCAAACGTTTCCTCCCGAGAAGCTACTCCCCCTCCGCGACACTTGGTCAATTTTGGCAATCTTGTCATTGTCTGGGGGTACATCGATGACGGTTTTGACCGAGTAGCTCACGTGTTTCTAGACTACATTCTAGGATATAAGAAGTTTTTCCAACTTCCCCAAACCTACGACCCCTCCAAGTGGTCCGAGCTTTTCCAGCAGAACTTGGAATAGGACTTGGAGTAGAACTTAGAAGGAGATCCTGATAAGGCTACTGAGGCTGAGGTATAAGGGGTCGCCGAGGAGACCAAGGTAGTCAGGGAGCCTTTCACCACCGTTCAAGCAGAGGCCAGTACTTCTGGGAGAGATACTTGGCCAGATTTCAACATCCTACAAAGCTTGGACGAAGAGGACGCATTTGAAGTCGCAATGTCGCGTCGGCCTCGTCTTAACCTCAACTTCCTGAATCAGAGGGCCGCCTTGAAGGGCAGGGGGTCCTCCGACAATGTCCTTCCACCCCCCCCCCCTCGCAGATCAACATCAACATTCCTCCCCTTCCTCCTGTACCACCAAGGTCCACTGCTCGGGGCCTGGTCCACTATCGGGACCCTCAAGTTGAAAAGAAGAGGAGGACCAAACAAAGGCATGATGGTTTGGGCTGAGACAAGGGTCTTCCATCACAGCAACAACAAGGATAACAACAACATCATCAACAACAACAACAATAGCAGCAACAACAACAAAAACAAACTCCTCATCCTCTTCCACAAAGGACAAGTGCAGAGGAGTGGCACCCCCAGGCCCGGGATCGAGAAAATAGGGTGATCCAAGTCAACAACTCCATCATCCATGATCCTCACATGGCCTATGTCATGAGTGAGACATTTCATTTTGAGGCTGACATGACGGAGCACCAAGGGCGGCCGACTAACTAGCTATTCCGCTCAATCATCTAGGATTCCCTAGTGGTAAGTTTTTTTCAGTTACTATTTTATGCGTTGTCTTCTCTGCCTCGGTGTAATCTTTTCATTTCTCCTTCCAACAGGCTTCCCAACAGATATCGGTTATTGTTGTGCGCTATCATGCTCAGAGACAAAGTCTCCAACAATTCGAGAAGCAGAAGGCCGAAGTCGAGACGGCCCTTGCTGCTACTAGGGAGGAAATGGCCGCCAGGGACATCACATTATCTTCCCAGGCGGCCCAAATTGAGTAACTACTGAGGGAGGGTGAGGCGGCGAGGGTTAGTGCTGAAAAGCTAAACGTGGCCCTCGTTGACGCCGAGAGGAAGATTACCGAGTAAACGCAGCGATTATCTTCAACAGAGGCAAAGGTCGAGGAGTCGGAGCAGACCTGCTCAACCCTTACCCAGGAGCAAGACCGAGTCAGGGTAGAGATGGAAGCCAACAAGAGGACAGAGTAGCAGATCACCGATGAATGTGCTAACGACGTCCTAGTTGCCCTTGAAGAAAATAAAAGGGAGTTTTTTAAGAAGGGTTAGGACGAGGCACTCCTGGTGGAGGGGGTTCCTTCTGAGTCCCCTCTATTCCTTATGCATGAATATGTGCCATCAAAGCAGATGTTGTAGGTTGTGGCAGAAATTGCTACTGAAGACGCAGCAAATGCTTAAGTGCAAAGCTCGGGGGAGGCCTTTGACATCGCAGCCTCGATCCTAGATGACACTGTCCTCCCAAGGGCAGATCCTTCAGTTCCTGAGTTTGTAGTGCCCCTGCACCCTCAGTCCCTATTGCTCTTGCTCCGGCTTCTCATACTAATGCCACTAATGCTGACTCTTACCCCAGCATCGAGGAGTTATTTGGGGATGCCACTGGAGATGCTAGCGGTTAAGTGTTCAGTCCTCCCCCTCCGTCCACCTACACTTAGGTTTCTATACCCCTTGTATTTTTCTCTTTTTTTTGTAGCCTGGGGGACGTAAAGACCTCTTCTTTTGGAATAAAAAAGTGACTATTGTAAATTCATGCGTGCTCTTTTGTCGTCCCTGTGTATTTGTTTGTAACTTCTAACTTCCTAAATGTTGACCTTCGGGCCCAAGAAGCATAGAATTTTAGAACATTACTTGTATCATTTAGATGTACGTTTGGTATCCCCCGGCCTCGAGGACACGTTACAAACATTGTTAAACCCAACAAGTACCGATGCCGAGGTCATGTGTCGGGAATGGAGGTCTCCGAAAGGTTTCGGAGCCAATGGCACTAAGAGATGTATACTTGCACTCTGGTTAGCTTCATCTTCCTCGTGGGTCGATCCGAGGGGATGGGATTTTCCTTGCCCCACTAATATCTTGCTAAGACAACCTCACCCATGTATTTGTGCAAGCATACTTTGGTGTTCGGACTCGAGGTTTGTGAGAACACTTGGGGATAATCACACCCATATTAGATGTCAGCTGCTTTCTTGCGGTCTTTTTTCTCCTCGATTCCCCAAGGTGTGGTCACTATGGGACCAGGTAGTTAAGATGCATTTATCTTGACAACCTATTTCCAGGCTCCATTTACTTAACCAAGTGTATTCTAGGACTCCCAGATAAGATGGACTTTCAACAATTCATGCCTACTGCATGACAAAGTATCCCTATCCTAAGCAGCGTATTCGATGAGTGCTCTTTTTCTGGGTCATTTTTCATTTAGGAGGCACGCCCCTGCCTTTTAGTTGGAGGCTGAGGTTCTCGAGACTCGGGCCTAGGGTCATACTCTCTCCAAGAGGCTTGCTCCTGTTCTTTATTTGGAGACAGGAGTCCCTGAGACTCTACCCCCAGGGTCATGTCCTTTCCAGGAGGCTTACCCCTACTCTATATTTGGAGGCAAGAGTCCCTGAGACTGCCCCTAGGGCCATGCCCTTTCCAGGATAATACAGTCGACACAAAAACGAACTCTTATTTATCAAAAGTAGTATTTCTTCAAGTTCATTACATTCCAAGGTCTTATGACAGCTCTTCCTTCCATGTCTTCTAGCTTGTATGACCTGGAGCCTCCTACCGATGTGACTTTGTATGGGCCTTTCCAATTGGGACCATTTTTTCGTCTACTAGATCCCAGGTGTTTGCCACCATCCTCTTAAGCACTAGATCACCTATCTGGAATTCTCAAGTCTAGACACCCCTTCTTGATACTTGACCAATTTCAAGGCAGACACTTCCCTTATTTCCTCCGTTAGGTCCATATCTAAGTCGAGCTAGTGATCGTTGTCCTAATGTCGAAGGCTTGCATTCTTATGGTAGGGAGACCTACCTCCAACGGGATAACTATCTCTACCCCATATGCGAGGGCGTAAGGCGTCTCTCCTGTAGAGGTTCGGGGGTGGTCATGTATGCCCATAGGATATTCAGGAGCTTTTCCACCCACTTGTCATTGGCCTTTTTCAACCTTTTCTTGATCCCGTTGATGATGGTCTTATTGGAAAATTTTGTCTGTCCATTGGCTTGTGGATAAGAAGGGGAGGAGTAGTAGTTACAGATTCCCAGGCATTCACAAAAAGACTTGAAAGGTCCGTTGTTGAATTAGGTCTTGTTGTCTGACACTAGTGCACGGGGGACTCCAAACCTTGTGACTATGTTCTTCCATACAAACTTCTTGGTGTCTACGTCCCTGATGTGGCTCAGCGGCTTTGCCTCGATCCACTTTGTGAAATAATTGGTTCTGACTATCAGGAATTTCTTGTTTTCAAAAGCCCTTGGAAGGGATCCAACTAGGTCGAGTCCCCATTGAGCAAATGGCCAAGGACTCTTCAGTAGATGCAAGTCACCGGTCGGCTGCTTAATGACTAGGGTGAACCTTTGACATTGATCACACCTTCTAACATACGTCTACGCATCCCTTTGCATCCATGGCCACCAATACCCTTGGGACATGATGTGGTAGACCATGGATCGCCCATCTGAGTGCCCCTCATATATTCTTTCATGTACCTCGTACAGGAGAGGTTCAACTTTGTCTTCCCAGACGCATAACAGGTATGGTCTTTAGAACGATCTTCGGTACAACTTCTGATCTGGGGAAACCCAGAATCTTGGGGCCCTCAAATGTATTTTCCTGGCTTCCTTTAGGCATCCAGGGAGCTCCCC